AAACTGGGAATGCTTTATTTTATTTGTAGTTATTTGATACAGAATATCTGCCCCTTTACATTTTTTTGGCTTATGTTAATTGAAAATTATTAACTTACTGCAAAAAAAGGAAGAACAACCCTAAAGAACTATCACACACACACACACACATATGTGTGTGTGTGTGTGTGTGTGTGTGTGTGTGTATAAATAAATATTTTGGAAATTATTAGGCTACTATTTTTTTGAAGGTTTTGAAGGTATTTCCAATATGCATTTCAAGCCTAGAAGATTTTTAGCAGAGGCATTTCCACTCATCTCCATCTCTGGAGGTTGTCAGTAAGCCACACGCAACTACTAAAACAGCAGTGACAACAGCTAAATGTTCTCATTAACCACTGCAGTATAGGATCAGGAATCAGAAGACCTGAATTATATTCCAGATTCTATGAGTAATTAATTATTTTTATGTTACTAGCTACATCATTTCACAGTTTTCTATCTCAGTCGGCATACATTTAAATGGTTTCAAATATATGGTTGTTACAATGAAATACTTTTAGAAATATAAAGTAAAAATATAAAGTCTCCTTTATATAGTACTAGAGGTAATTTTGAACTAAAATTTTTCACAAATTTTTCACCAACTCACACAACTCAAAAGCGGAGAGAATGGGCAAGATGAGTGATCTCAGGGAACATGTATTTATGCTGTTCTGAAGTAGTGCATGAACAATATGGAACATTAGGACATAATCAGAAATAGACATAAATTCTGACTTGTGTTTAATGTAATAATTCAAATTGTTACCAAATAATTTGCATATCATTTGCATATCACCTAAATGGTATATAACTTCAATTATTATACATAAACTTTTCTTCCATTAGTTCTTCTCTCTTTTGTTAAAATTTTGTTGGAACTATGCAAGAGTAACAATTTTTTCAGTCCTATTGGTGGTTATAACTGGCATTTGTACAATGTGGCAGAGTGAAGTGATTGCATATAAGGTAGAAATGTCTTGAAATTACTGGCCTGGCTTCTACCCTACTGTTTCCATCACCCCTCCCCTTGGCTGGGGCTACTTTATCTACATGTGTCAGTTTCACTATGTCCAGGTTTCTGGACCAAACAGTCTCTGCTGAGGCCAAACTTAAGGAGCTCCAACCAGCAGCTTGGTAGCCCAGCCATGTCAATCTAGCAATTTGTTTCCCTTATATGGATCCAGCACAAGTTTATTCATTAAAGTTCTGCCTCATCTAATCAGGACTGAGTCTCTATTTCCTGTTCTGCTTTTTTTGTCCTTCTACACCTGCCTTTCTCTTGACCCAATTTTTGAAGGCTAGAGTTTTCTCTACATGTTCCAGTCCCTGTATCTGATCCTGACACCTGCTGCCACATTTTCCTGTGGTGCATGGTGCATTATTTTAAGTAAGCCTGGACATTTCTGTTGGCCAACTACCAAGCTCCCTTGCACCACACCTCACTTGCCTCCCAGTACAGCTGCCAACCACCCAACCCTGAATGCCTCTGCACTTACCAAGCAGTGTCTGTTGAGCCTCTGCTTATTGCTTGCATCAGATTCCCTTGAAATCCCTTTTCCTCTCCATGAGTCTATCAATGGCTTCTGGGACCTTAGGAGGTGGCCTACCAATCAGTAGGTTTGCCTAATCTCTGGGTCCTGGTTCCCCTAGACTAGGTTCTAAAATGCTCCAGTGCAGAAACTCTTTCAAAATTTCCCTCAAAGAAGATTTTCTCTTCAGACTGTCACATGTCTCATATGGTCAAAAGAGCTTAATGTTCCTAGGCATTTGGTGCATTTACAAATACACAACAGAAAGGACCAAGATCTTTGGAACAGAAATTAAGAAAACCAAATGCAAATCTACACTCTCCCTCTCAAAAAAACCCAAAGTGAAAACCACCCCCACAATCCCCCAAATCTCTAAAGGATACAAAAATGACCAGCTAACTTTAAACAATGGAGCATTTTATCAAAGACTTAATGACTTTAGAAGAGCATGATCTGTAATGTCTAACAAACATTGGTCATGGACTCTGGTAGATTGGGATATGACAACAGAAAACCAGTTAAGTTAATAATACTCTTACTATAGCTACCAATTAAATTAATGCCCCTCCCCTCCAAAAATAAACCCCCTAGGATTAATAAATGGTTAAATGAACTTTAATACAGTAATCATGGTCTACTCACCTGAATTAATCCTTTGATGCTAAATTGATTTTTGGGTTTTTTTTTGTCATTTATAAAAGGTTATAGTATATTTGCCATGGTAATCCATTTGGAAGGGGCTATTTTGAAAGTAAATGTAGGTGGAACCATATGTAGTTTGAAAACCTGTGGACCAGTTTTTGTCATTTATAAAAGGTTATAGTATATTTGCCATGGTAATCCATTTGGAAGAGGCTATTTTGAAAGTAAATGTAGGTGGAACCATATGTAGTTTGAAAACCTGTGGACCAGTTTTGAGTGACTATGAATATACACATTTCTTTCTGTTTTTTAATATATATTTGGTGGCTGGCTGGCATGGGGATTTGACTCTTTGACCTTGGTGCTATCAGCACCATGCTCTAACCAACTGAGCTAACTGCCAGCCCCTGAATGTACGTATTTCTTTTTTTTTTTTTTTTTTT